AAGAAGGATGTTTTACGTACCCTTGCAAATTTCGATGAGTAAGGATCATCAAATGTTTTCCATATTTTTTTCTTCATCGTGTGCCATGGATGCCTCCAGCGCGCAGCTGCTGTTGTGACCCGCCGAGCTGAGTCGTGCGAGGCACAAAGTTCACTTCCACTACTAGGGATTTCGATGTCACCAGACCCGCTGTCGATGTCTTCAAAGTCTGAATCTTGATCTTCGTCTCGTGAGAAGCCTTGAAGTTTCTCTTCAGCGTCGCGATGTTCATCATATTTTGCCCAACAACAAGTTTCAATCTGTTTTTCGTCCAGACCCCAGAAGTTAAGTTCTTCCTCAAAGAGTGGTCCACACACATCCCTTGGACAATGTAGTTTCCCTGTGCGATAGTAGTTGAGAATATGTGTAAAAACTGCGGGATTCCGGTCGAAGAAAAATTCTCGCTTTTGTCCGAGCGGTCTTGGATCCTTCAGAGCTCGTTCAGCTATCCATGCCAGCCGCGTGTCAGGTATGCTTGCCAAAGTACTCACAAATGTTTCGTGTCTCTGCCCTCCAACGTTCAAATAAAGCCTTGTTTCTCCCGGGTTATCAGCGTCAAAGAGACGAGAGCGCGATCGAGACATCTTTGACGCGATTGACTGTTGTGACGCCGAACCGGAGTTGTTCGACGCAGCAGCAGTTTCGTCGACAGAATAATCAGCGATACCGTCAGGCTGCGTCTGTTCTTGAATTCTAATGCAATAATGTTAAATTCAGTATCACGAGATACAGGTCAGAGGTAATGTGTAGCTATCGGTTGGTATCTACCGACCAATCTAGCAGTTTGCCTGGCTTTCTACAACCAAGAATCATGTCAAAAGTTTGGTTGTGCAGTTACCCTGGGCAATAAGGCATCTCTTGCTCATTTAACGCCAAATCAGTCCGCAAACACGTGGTGAGTAAACATTAAAATCCCCCCTTTGATCCAAATACGCCCCAGGGATTTGTTAGTCACGTTCAGTTGCTGAACAAATGTACTTTTCCGGTGGCAAAAACTTCAGCTTTAGCATGTCCAGTTATTTTTCTTTCTTTTGAATGATTGATTGTTAATGAACCTTCGAGCAAGTTTTAAATTGCTTTCTTAATATTTCTTTACTCCGCATTGATAAAATAATATTTGCGTTTTTTATCTCACTCGCAGTGGTGTTCTTAAGACATGAATAAAACGCGCATCAACAGCGAAAACTTTTAAAAATTGTTGTGTCTACCTTAATGCTTTTTAAATCGATCGTCCTTTTGTTTTTTTACTCAAAAGCGAAACACACCGAACATATCACTGAGCAAAAGCCATAGTAATCTAAAGAAAATGAACAACAATTCGACAATCATTAGTAAACGCATTTCATGATCTTGACAGAAAGCTGCGTATGACATCATGTATTTTTGGTTTGTATGATTAATTCATTAGTCGAGGTGAGCAATTTAAATTATATCTGGAGGCAATCAGTTGGGCTTGATTTACTCTTGTTTGGAGTAGGTAGTCCCTACAGAGGTTGTCCAGCCAAGTTGTATAGTTACTCTGCGAATTTGTGCATATTCCATCAGCTAGCTTACATCGAATACATAACCGCGTACTGCAATAACCTTCTGGCAGATTTACTTTATCTTTATAATATTTGTTTTGTCTGAACTGTCTTTTTATCACCTTTTCATGAATTTAATAGAATTATTCGACGTAGCAATAGACTCTTTAACTACGTACGATACAGGCATACTATAAAGGTTTGAAGTATCAAACGTCCCACGCAAAAGAACACCAGCAGAACGTCAGCAGTAATATTCTACTTACACAGCTGATATTTTAACTTCCCTCTCTCGTTTGGATATAAACGACATTTCACCGTATTTCCTTGTCAATCTAGAATTGAAGTGAGAGTCTTGGTAACTATCCTTATATAGGGAAAGCGATCCTTTCACTGACAAAACGTGCGCGATCTGAAAACCTGAACGGATATTCGTTGCCGAATTCAACGTTTGTCAACTCAACTCAATTTGTCGCTGACATTATATATTCAATGAAGATTTTATGAACAATAATTTCAGGGTGATGAGTGATGTGTTAAAGAAATAGGAAAGGTCACTGAACGACTCTCTTCAAAAAGTTCTTATTTTATGCTCCAGGACAACTTTCCGATCCTTATGAGTGATTCGTTTACAGCGAAGTTTTGAAATACGTTTAGTTAATATACTCCACCGTAATTTATCCTAGTGGGTCAGAAAAAATATATCGATGTAATTAAGTATATGCATATTTCCTGTGATCTTTTTGTTCCCTGGCCAGACAAATCCCTTTTTAATCGACTCATTTTATTCAGTTTCCCATAAGAGACCTGCAGTGCAAAGAATCACATTACCTGTATGAAACTACGAATGTTGCTGTGACCTGAAAATCCTTTGTTTTGATCGGTTTATTGTACCAACACGACAAATCTGAGCGTTAGTTTGCATAACTATCTGGCACGTTAACATAATGTGATTTCCATCTGTTTCAATTCCGTCCGTACGTGATGTTACGGCAATCTTGATTACGGTACACCCCACTTGATTTTAACATCGACCATGATCAATCATTCTGAAGTACTTTTGAAATTGGCTGATGAAGTAATTTAGCATTTGTTACATTCTCGAATTTCAGTCTATCAGAGCAATACAAAGTTTCCTTCTTATAAATTCAGCCGTCGTTTTCATCTTTTACATCTCGAAGCAGATAATTTAAGATGTAAAATAATTGTCACAGCCCAGTTGCTAGTTCAAGTACATACGATACTTATCATGACCGGACGCGACGTCAGAAGGAGAGGCGGCGAAGGGGTGTGTTGAGGGATGTGTTGTGTTGGGGAGGGAGGGGAGATTAGGTTGACAGATCGACCGATTTATCCTAAAATGCGCGCGGATTGGACACTTCAGCGATGACTTGAACGGATTTACAGATTTTCGTTTGTCAACCCAGAAAATGACCTTTTAAATACTCGTTGGTCAATGTTACCAGACGGGCATCCATACGAGGGGGATTGTTTGGCTCGCAGTGAAAGGGGCATCCTTATTTGCGCAACTTTACAAAAAAAATAAACAAAAAACAAAAAAATAAACAAAAAAAAGACATACTTGAGCAAGTTTGCATACACCTAAAACTCGCGATGAAATAAGATAACTAAACGCAAGAAAATATGCTTATAAGGCTTAAGGTGCGCTGTGGTTTTGCAGCCGAAAGACAAGGAGAATATATTCATTTTCTCCCATCATTTATACTAAGCCGGGAAAATATCTGCTAAATTACCGTCACTAGCTGCTTATTCCCTAATTATGGTCAGACGTCTAGTGATCGACGTATTAGCGTCAGTTACTTTACAGGCTTACTTTAAGGTCATTAATCATCGCATGTTTTCATCGTATCGACTAACACGTCAATACAAGCTTGTCGTATCTGGATAATGAGCTAGTCAAGTTTAGTTCACCTTCAGTCTGTTGACATATGTTCTGTTTGTTTATTGCCGACAGGTGCGTAACCAAAAGCGACTGTTCATCGGGCAGACTGATTCTCAAGCGACAGGAAAGGTATACTGACGTAAATGGGTGGATCATTTGTATTTGTCATGGTGGCTACATCAGATTAAGAAGGAAAAAAAAAGCAAACAGCTGTCTGTTCGGAAATGTATAGTGTGGGTCAATCGGTTGCGCTCACTGAAGTCTGCCAGAATTAACAGCTTGCCAGTGACACAACATGAGGGAAAAAACGTGTCATTCAATTCCAGTTTCATAGGGAAAAGTTCTGTTCTCTGTACAATCTGGCAAAAACTCAATAAAGCTTCAAATTGTATCAACTTACCTCGCTTGAACGCGGTATGATCTTTTTGTCGGCATGATTGACTGATTATAACACTTCATGCTGACAAAAGCGATGCCGGCCTGAAGAATCTGGCGGAAGATTAAAAAACAGATCGAAAGAAGGAATGGTTAGATTACTAGTATACTTGCCATGCTCGCATAGGTAATGTAAGTGGCTTTAGAAGAGCAAGATCTTAATCTTTTTTTTTCTTATCTTAATATAAATACCACAAGTGGAACGAGTTTATCTGACCTTAGGTCAAACTTAATAATGTGTTATATGTCAACCAACAAGAATATCAACAAACTATCCATCTTACTTGGGGGGACAATTCACATTAATCAAGAAATTTGTGTTCGGTAAGGGTTTCTTTTAGCCGATTTTATAAAGGTATTAGCCGTTGTTAAGGTAGTTTTATAAAAAATGATAAAACTGACTTTGTTTTCGAACTAAAACAGACTTGTTTAGGTCACTAATGCATGGTTGGACAGGCTTGTCAAACCTACAGGCAATTTACTGCCCGGCAAATAAATTCTTAAAAACTTTGCAGCAAGGGGACCTTCTTTGGCTTTTTTTCTCATAATGAGATTGGGCTTTTATTGGAGATAACAAGTAGGTCAATGATTTAACGCGAACGTAAAAGCAGAGAAAGGAATTTTTTTTTAATGACGAAATAGAAAAAACTCAACAGACGAGTTTCAATAATCATGTGATTAGAGAGAGTAAGAACGGACTTTTGGTCGCGAATATCTAATCTTTCCTATTAGTATTGTTGTTACTGTCGATTGTAGCTTGTCGCAGTCAGCCATTACTCAGACACAGTCAAATTTTCAATTCTGAAGTCTTAACACGACCCAATGCTTTACATTAGAACGTGTATTTATTGACTAAATTGTTAAGGTTTTTTAAAATTTTAAGGATCAAAATTTGGTATACAAGAATCAGCAGATCTTTTAAAAATACCCAGTGACAAAAATAAAGAAAACATTTGAGGATCAAAAGAAATAAAATATTTGAAAAAAATTAATAAGTCTTGGACTTTTTCCTTAGACTTACTAACGCCAGCGATCTTAGTGTACAGCGTTATTATACATAGCGGTCACCAATCCATCACTGAATCAATACCGTCAATTCATGTGGAATATTTAGAAACCAGGTACAATGAATTGTTACCCTCGCATGGATAACGAACAAAGAAATCACATTCTTTACAGACAGCTACATCAGCCAATATTAACCTGAACTCTTGTTTGTCACACAATCGCGCTTGTCCTCGATTAGAGAGGCATATATCTGACAGCATAACCGGGTCGATAACGCTGTGCTTCAAAATGTGGCCGTGGAAATCTTCAAATCGTCAACCGGACTTCAAGGTGAGATTAGAGGTCATCGATTTTCTGAGGTTTGAAAGTACACTAGTTTATTCAGACCTTCAAGTTTGATAATTCGTCCCTTCTTCGTTCGATGTCGGGAGCGATCGGAAGCGGAGATTCACACTTGAGCTTACCACTATTCAATTTGAAATTTTTTTCTCAATCTTCGTTCGTCAGAGTTTGCCAAGTCAAGTTTGAATGTAGTTTGCGAGTATGTTTTACAGTGAATTAACGTTTTATATGAACGTACGTGTACGTTAGTATTTTCCAATATTCAATACGTAGTTTGAAATTCGTTTTAAGAGCTGCTCGATCATTGTACAAATATATGAAAATTGAGAGTCAGTTACAGCTGTCACCCGTTTCCTTGCAGTCGCTGTTGTACCATTTATTTTTCTTGGACCGGACAATACTAGAACTCTTGTTTGTGTCTAGGAAAAGCTATAAACACTTCTTACACAACCAGCCAGATACTTGAGTTATCACCCGACCCAACTAAAATTAGGGTAGTTTATGTTTATTTTTGGTTCATAAAGTTTACCTGAAGTCTGTATTAGGTAACAACTTATGTACATCAAGATTTTTTAAAATAACCTTGAATAGAGTTTAAACTGATCAGAAGCAGTTCTTGTAGTAAGTTAGACAGATTTTGGTAACTTACTTCAGCTCTTTCATGAAAGAGGCTTAAAAAGACTTGTCAAGATTTCGCTCGCTTTAAGAGATTTGAATACGTCAAGCAAATTTCCTCAACTGAAGATTGATATTTATTTAAGAAAAACGACTATATAAATATTTTCATACATGTCGGTAAAAAAAAAATTGCTGCAACAACCGATTGCAATACTTAAGATTTTCTTTTCTTTCGATGATTATAAATTTTAGTAATTATATGCAGAAAGTGAGTCAGCAAACAGAACAAAATGAATGGCATTGAATAGTCACTGAAGCGTATGGAAATTAAAAAGCTTTGTCTGAATTCTTAAAACTGTATATATCTTTAACGACAATTCAGTCAGGGAGATTTTGAAGTGAGACTTTGTGAAAATGGCAATCTATCGACAGAATTCAGCTGTTAATTTTTTTAATGTTATTTGCACCTTTGATTTCAGTTTCCCTTATCCTTAAATGTAATCTTCCAGCCTGCTTTAAAATGAAAAGAAAATGAAACAGGATATTTTCCATAACAAACTTTGTTGACAAACAAAAGTGCATAATCTAGAATTTTAAAGTTTTGAGTATGGACACACTAGACATACAAATATTAGAAAATGCTGCTGTTATTCCAGATTAACATTACACTAACGGTATTTGAGAAACAAGATAATTTGTTTATATCAAGAAAATTACTTGTTGAGTCTCCACATATATGTTCATCATCATATGAGTATTTCTTTTTTTAATGATGTCAGCCTCCTTCTTCTACTGTAATCTTTTGAGACCACCATAACCTGTTTTTTTTCACTTTTTAAGTTATATGAAAAAGTAGTGCTTTATACTAAATGAAAAAAACGGAAATAATGAGATTCTAAGAGCTAGGAGTGTTAATTAACAAAATATCCTTAATCCAAGTAGACTATGAGCAGTCCTTCTTTTTCAGTGCAGTCCATAACCTAAGTGGCAGTAATCAGTAAAAAAAATTAATTTTAGCACACAGAAGGAAGTTCATGGAGGGACTTACATATCATGGGAGCTCCGTGAGTGATGTCCACCTGGAATTGTCACAACTACAGACTAAGCCCAAGAGTTTGATTTCTGCATTGCGCTCACAATAAAAAAATATACTGGGTTATTGGCCGGAAATCTGTTGACAACTGCCTTTGGATAGAGCATTATCTACAAGGTGTTTTGATTTGCAAAAATTTTTTGTGCATGTCCTTGTAATTTCGCCATTTATTAGGATCATCATTAGACAAGAAGCAAACTCAACAAACTTGGCCTTCCAGCCATTCATTTATCTGAAAAAGAGAAAGACTGCATGAATGTTATCTCTGATGATAAATTATGTGCACACACAGCAAAAATTGTTTGCAATGGTTTTGTTTTGTTTGTGAGAGTCATCTTTACTGAAACATTTTACAGATTTCCTGTTTATTGTGCACCTGGAAATTTGAAATGATTTCATTTCCCAAGATCACCTAATATGTGTTTCAATGGCATTGAGATTGACTGGTAATTAAGTTAAGGAATCTCATTGGTTAGCCCTAATTTCAATTCAAATTTGATGCCAGAAAACCACTCATGCAAGGTCAAACTCTTGGGTTAAGTCTGTAATCCCTGCTTTTCGAGCACCTCATGGATCTCCCACATTGTAGTCTAAATGCCAAGTTACCAGCTCCTTGTGTGGAGCAATTTTAACAAAGACCCAGAACATGTCAAATTTATGAATGTCATGTCTGTAATTGAGAAGAGCCCACACATTTTGTTATACTCTTAGAACTTCAATTTAGGCTGTAAAGAGATTGTAGGTTATCCAAGTCAACATATTTTTTTTGGTTATGTGAAATTTAATCTACATGTGGTGTTTTTTTTTTCAAATCAAACTGCAAGACAAACCCAAAAGTCTTTGTCTTTGCTTGTCACTGATATCTCATGCAAACTTTTTATTTGTAATTATTTTCAGTATGCATCTGATAATTCCAAATATTACCCACACCCTCACCATGGAGTTCAAATTTCACATCGTATGGTGCAGCTCATGTTGGGATGCCTGTGCTTTGGTGTACTGTTGATTTTAGTCAATATCTATCAGTTGCATAGCATAACTACTGGGCAGACTGTGGGTGATCCTGAGTTTGGAAGCTCTAGAAGACCTGTTGTTTGGATGAATGCCAGAAATGTAAGGATACTTGTTATTTTTAAATGAGTTAAACAGTTATTGGTTAAATATATCAGCTAAATGTTTGAATTCTGTTCAAGTTATGCATAAGTTAACTACCATTAAATATGTTATTTTGTGATTTATTCATTTTTCACAAGAGTTTTGTACAGTTATCAAGGGCTTACCGTTGCAAAAATGTTGGGAATATCGATGGAGATCATAAGCATAAATATATGGTGAATAATATTAAAAAATAATTCTTTCATTGGATACTTGAATTACTTTTAACCACATGCACCTGGGTTTTGTATGACCACACATTAACAGTGCATTAGATGTTTTCCATGTGTCATGTGACTGCTAACTGCAATGGGCCTATTGACATTTACATTTATTTACAAAATAAAAATTTTTCATGTGCTTTATTTCAATAAGAAGCAAATATATTTTTTTTATTAAACAAGAATAAAGTCATATCAGATATGTGGATAATTAGAAGTAACTTCTTTTATCTATCAGCTCAAGTCAGGTTACTTGAAACATGTGATGGCTGTGTTCAGCAGAATTGGTTATACCAGAACTGAGGCAAAAAGCCGCTTGTTTGACGTGATGTGGGCCCATGACTATCCATTTGGTGGAGAACTTAAAGATATGCTGCTAACCCTAGAGCCACATCAAAAGGTTTATTAATTTTATTTCGGAACATCCTTGCTTTGCAAAATGTTAATCTAATATAAGAAGTCTTTACAATAATTACTTGTTACTGTTTTATGACTCAAGTGTTTGATGTTCATTAGGTGTATCTGTGAAAATTAAAAAACAATGGAAATAAAACCTGGGGAAAATATTTAACCAGAATTTATGCATATGCATTTTTTAATGGATAATTACTCGTATTGGAAAGGTAATTGTGTCATTTTGAGACAAACTTGTTTTGCTTTTGTTTTCAGATTAATCATTTTCCAGGTTCTGGATATATTACAAACAAAGTTAGCCTGGCAGTGAACCATTTTCCATTTATTCCTCCAGCATTTGTGATACCAAAGGATACAGACAAGTTTTTAGAGGAGGTATCAGTTCAAGTAGAATATGGCCAGTAAATGACATTGAACAGCCTACCAACAAACAAATAAACATAATTAAATATTAACAAATTATTTGAGCTAGCAGAAATCAGCATCAACGTTATAGTATGTGGTGTGATTAAAACATGGAGGTTTTTTAACTTGTGTCTTCTTACTTATTGTATTCAGGTTAAGAACCATCCTAAGAAACTTTGGGTGGAGAAGAGTAATAACCACAGAGGAATACACATCAAGTCTCCAAATGGTACAAATATTACACAAACTTGCAGTTGTAATATTTTTCTTGAAGGCTCACACTTGGTCTGTTGGGTTCTGCCTCTTGTTATTCAACAAGTGGCTTGGAGTTATTATAAGCATATTTTCCATTAATTTTGTATACTTTTTTTTTTGTAGAAATTGACCTTCATAAGGGGTCTGATGAGAACTTTGTTCAGGAGTACATTGCCAATCCATATCTTATTGATAAACGCAAGTTTGACATTGGTGTTTACACTGTTTTAACTTCCATTGATCCTCTCAGAGTTTATGTCTATGACCAGGAGGTTCTTATCAGGTTATTTTATGAGTCACTCATTTAATACAGTTTTATGACGGTGCACATTTAATTAAGTTCCTTTTTTGTGCACCTGATCATTAAATGTCATTATCTCAATATTTTTTAATGAAAACTTCTCCATCACTGTGTAACAATCTACATGTCCTGGACCCAATTAAAACTGAAGAAAAGTGGAGATCACTTAAAAAGTAAAAGTGCTGAGGGGTTCTACTAGACTATCATAAATGGCAAAGCAGAGGTCAATTCAAGGACAAAAGTCTTATTAATATCCATTTCTGAGCACATTGCTAATTTTTATTAGATAGTGTGCCCAAGCTGCTGTGCATTAATTTTTAAAGAGTGGTCTTGAGTAAGTTTTGTAGCATCCACTTTTTTTATTTTCTTATTTTCAACAACTCTTGTGCAGGTTTTGTGAGACAGACTATTACCCATTTGACTCAAATGATGAAGATAAATATGTTGTGGGAGATTCATACACTCAGCCTTGGGAGGTAATTGAGGGGTTGCCTGAGTTAGTTCTGTTATGCATCCTCCCCATGAAGAGTCATACAAAAGCCTAAGACAGGTAGATGGCCCTTCCAGTTTTATGCCTGGTTTATTCCACCACAATTCCCAAAAACTTCTAGTTAAACTGCTATAACCCTTTCCTGTTGTGAATGTACTGTTTCTACAGTGATATTTTGCTTTCTCAGCTTTGTCCTGTTTCACCTGTTGTCATCAACAATCTAAAGACCTTTTTCAGTCTTATGATTCCTATTTGATAAACACATTCAGATTTTTTCTTGTTGCTTCATTTTGAGTATGTTTGTTCAGAACTCTGATGGTTGTCTTACTTATTTCACATTCAGCTGCCTTCTCTGAGGGAGTGGTGGCATAAAGGAAAATACAGCCGCAAACTGCTTCTTAATGCACATCTTAAAAAACAAGGTATGGAGAAAAGTTTTTAGATTGTCTGACACCAAAACATTTGATAAAAAAGGATTCAGAAATTGCTGATTGGGAGGTCTGTTTTATAACTCTCCCTTTCAGCTGCTGTATGTAAAGAAATAAAGTTAATGTACAATTGAATTAATTTGAACTAAAACATCAGTTGCCATTACTCAGGTCATCGGTTGCAATGCTTCTTACAGTGATCTGTATTTACTTTTTACAGGTCAAGATGTTGATAAGATATGGAGCGATATTTACAGGGCTATTGCAGAGGTAAGATTTCTGTTGTTGAGAAGCTATGATTGGCTGGAACACATTACTCATCTATGATATGAACTTTTTTCTTGAAATTTTAGATCAAACATTATTTTAAAGAAGCAAAGGGTTTTGTTAATTCACATGTAATATTATCCAAACCAACAAATTGACTTTAATGTTTGATGTTAAAATTGATGATGTATTTGATCTCAGGTTTACCTGAGAAAGGAAACAGATCTCATATCTGCAGGATCACACTTCAAATCCACAAGGTATTAGATGTATTGAGTGCACCCACGTTATATCGAGAACTGAAGCTTTCCAAACACCTTTTCCTCCATTCAACATAAAATGTTTTATCATGTTAATTTTTTTCCACAAATTATAGGAACTTCTTTGAGATGGTCCGCTTTGATTTTATCCTGGATGCTGACTTAAAAGTTTGGCTTATGGAGGTACACGATGTTTATTGTTTGTTGCTTCAGCTGCTGGCCCCATCTGAGAGACATATAAATAACTCATCGCATCAAATCACTATTTTTTTGTTGTCTTTAAAGGTAAACATGTCTCCAAATTTGTCTTCAGCTGCGCACAATGATAACAAACTGATGTACGAACAGGTGAGGTCAAATACTGCTAATAGGATGTTTTCTTGTCAAGAGAATTAAAGCACACTATCTCTGTTCCCTAGTCCACGCAAATTGTAGAACGAAACTGAATGACTCACTGTTTTTATCTCCATTCTTGTCACCTGCAGGTTGTATTCAACCTTCTTGGCTTAGTGGGAGTGGCGTCAAAACTGGACCACAGTTTGAAGTACAGGTCGGGGAGACAATTTTTCACGCAATTCCTTCCAATGTAGCTCAGCAAATCTCCGTAACAACGCTTATTTTTTTATTTTTTTCGTGTATGTGCATTAGCTCTCCATCAGAGAAAGACATGCTTGTTAGCGATCATGACATTCAAGTATTGTACGAAAGATGTGCAAGCAGTGAATGCTCCAAGTCATGTTACAATGAGGTGGGTGGCCTGTGGTATCTATGCTGTACATCAGGGTCATTGTTTGTTAATTTTCGTTGTGTTCTTTGCTGTCTCCATGTCTTTAGCATTGCCGCCTGTGTTTTCCCTGCCTGCGCGAAAATGAACGTGACTTTATCAAGGCTGCTTACTTAGAGCATACTCACAGAGGAGGCTTCCGCAGAGTATACCCTCCTGTAATGGTGAGCTTTCTTTTGTAGGTCCTTCTTATGTTTATTTTTTGCTATTTTTTGTGTCATGTTTCTATGTCTCATTAGTAATTGTCTGTATGTCGTTGTCAACAGACTCAAATCGGTGAAGTGAAGAAGGATGGGCCGACATTAAGCCTGAGTTCGTCTAATCAGCTGATGTTTCAGTGGTTTAAAGCCATGTGTCTACACGATATTTCATGGTGCGCATGACTAGTAGCATCCATTGATTATGATAAAATAGATAATTTAACGACCACTTCCATCATTTATTTCTAGCTTGACTTTGAAAGATGTATCTCAGTTATGGAATATTGCGGTTGTTATAAAGTAAGTTATTGTATTGCACTTGGCGAGCCTTTTGTTTAGATTTGGTCTCTTTGGCTTTCTTCCGAGAGACACTGAGTACAGTTCGTATCATGTAGAAAATTATTTTTTACGGTCTTCAGAGTGTCACCCTGACATTAAAATGCAGCAGAGACGTTGTTTGAGAGCAATCGCTCGACGGACACTGTGTGCCAGAATTTCGTTCTAAACATACGTGAAAAAATACAATGATAATGAACGAACTGAAAAGTAAACAAGTATTTGTAAAGGTGGTAATTATATTCAATATTTTAAACGCCAATATGAAATGAAACAGAAACTATATCAAAATACATAGTAATATTGAACCTTGAAAAGATGTCGAGATGTTACGTTGTACATTATTCCTGTTCACAACTTCTTAGCTTGGACACTTCATACTGAGAATAATTCAGACTACATTCAGAGACAAGACAATGTTAGGAGATATTTATGTTATACTGTGTACTTCAATGTTTTAGATTTCTAACTAGATAAAAATGCTATTGTGTCTCGTTTTTGTACGAGCACACACAATAAATAGCTGAATTGTATCTCATTTGTCTTTTGAAGTCATTGATTTTGGTGACTTCAGTGTCTCTTTCAGTTAAGCAATACTCGCCGTAAGAATAGAAACCCAACATAGGAATGGTACTGAAACTTTCTCTGAATGCTGTTTGAGAGCTGGAATAGAAAGCTTGTCCTTTGTGAACAAACCGTGATGTGAACAAAAGTGAAAATTTGGGCGTAAAACCTTCGCCTCTAGCTTCTTCTGTCAGCTGATGAGCCGGTGTATAAAAGTCAGCGTCATTACCGTTGTTTAATAATCCAGCGTGTGCGCGAAATGGTTGGCCTGAAATGAATATTGCCACAACTCTTGCTCTCTTTACTAGACCATCTATAAACAAACGGTCATGCCCAACGCCTCCGAAAACAACTACTTGTTCTCCATAAGTTTCACGGATTCCTGTAAAGTAAACAATAGCAGTTGAAAAACATTTTAGCGTTACTTACGGTTTGATTTGAAGAAATCAAAGTTTACCCTTAGCAGCTTACATTGCAGTAACCATGATTAGTTAAATAAGCCAAGTACCTGAGGCTAGGAACGGTATGAAATCTCTACTTGCCGAGAGCGCTATCAGCACGACTAACTTGACTGGAGTGTGCGCGGGCAAATCAAACATATCGCACCAGTCACTAGCTGGCGGTGGCCTGGGTGTTCTGAGGTAAACATGGTGGTAGCAAACACCAGGCATGTGAGGCGCACATATGAATGCGTGTCCTGCCTTAATATGATGGATGAGGTTGGGAGTGAACTCGTCAGTGGGCTGTTGGAATACAATACGTTCAGTGGTACAACCTATTGTGACACATCCCGGTGGAAGTTTGGCAAATAAATTAAAAACAGAGCGCACAAGCTGTCTCTCTTCGTTCCTTCGCCTTCGTGGCTCCCTTCGCGTGAACCAGATTTCCCTATGGCTCAACTGAATCACCATTCGTGGTTCCGTGAACATATTTTCAAAAACATCGTCGATTTCACTTCCTGTAATCAATTTGTCCGCCAAGTGATGCACGGTCCAAGTTGTTCGCGAATGTAAAATCCGCGTGGAAATGTTCCTCCACATTCTGCATACTCTTGCTGTTGTTCTTAGCTCCTTCGCAGGAAGGTATCTTAAGATCATGTCCACCATCTCGGGAACGTAGGGGAGAAATGATTGCGCACGATTGCTTGTCTCTGACATTTTGCTTTTCTGTATGCGCTCTACCACGTTTCATTGTGACGCTATTTCTTGTGAGGTCACGTTTGATATGCGCGCGGATTTTTCTTTGCACGACTAGAGCTAAGTATAGTGCTTGCTTTTATGTGTACACCATTTGTCTGAAAATGTTGTATTTTGTAAATTAACCTATCGAAACTGATAGAGCAAGCTTAGCGGTTTGTCTGAAAACCAAACGTTTTCATCAGACGAAACTCATCTCATTATGCAGGCATGCGGTAAAATAGTGCTCATTGTTCAACAGAATGCGAGCTGAACGCCGCTACCTATTGTCTTTAGTAGTGGGAATGAAATTTAAACTTACGTTGGCGTTCCACCACCCGTAGAACACCAACTTCTCTTTGAGCGTAAAGCGATAGTCATGCGTTTGTTCACTGAGAAATGCTGATCGATGTTGGAGCAGATCTGCTGTGGGACGGTAAACTGAGGTAATTAGAATACTTTTGCTGATCGAAACATAAGCAGGTTGAAACCACAATAAGTGACAATTAGTCTTCTGTGACGTTCTACAGTCACAAGGTTAATCACATTGATTTCATCTCCTTTCTGGTATCGCACATGGACAAACACAAAGATATCGAAGAAGATAATTCTCAGGAATTCAAATTATTTCGATCGAGACCTGTTACTGCTGGCGGGATAGAGAATGGAATTCGTTTTTTCACTATTGCCGTGAACGCGCTTGATAGAATCGAAGGTTTGTTGTTTGAAATAGAACAAACAAAATTGTTAGTTCATCAGATGATAGGAGAGTTCAGTTTAGCTGGAGGAAAGATACGACTAAATCCCGGGGAACAAACGAATTATGTCTGCCTTGAAAAGAATGATATACAAGATAAGGAAGCAAAAAGGTACAAAACGCGAATTTTTATTGTTTTCTCTTAAATGCGCTCGTTCTTGAAGATGACAGAAGGCAATGTAACTTTATTTATGAGAGGCTGTGAATTTTTCCTTGCCTTTCTTTGATGAAGAAACTTTGCAATAATTGAAAACTGTAAGCGCTGTTGACTTGCCACTTTTGGTGGAAATCATGTTTTACGGTTTCCTTCAACGTTGTAGTTCTTCTTACGCCGGAATAATTTAGTATTGCGATCTTAAGTGGTGAATAACTCTGAGAGCATATAAACCTTATACTACAGACTGAGATTTTTTCTCTTTCCAGAGAGGTTCTCTATAGTCTGCCTATTTCATTTTCCGTTCCAATTTCTCTTCGTCTTCCCTCCATGTTTATTCACAGCAGATGTCAAAAGCGTTTTAAGCAGAAACACAACAAAACCCTGCTGGAAATCTGTGAGGAATTGAAGAACAAGTAAGTGGCTTTAAATAAAAAAGACTGTTTTAGTATTTATCAAAGAAAAATGGCACTTATCTATAACTATGGCTGGTGAGGCGTGCTATCCTGATTGATACAGTTTTACGCTGTCTTTATATTCACTTATTTTCCTTTACATTTTAAGGAGCCCGAGAAACTTGGATAACAAGTAACCAATGCCAAAGGAGTGCTGCGTCGGCCAAGTTTTGAATGGAAATAATTCACGTTTCTTACCCTATTTCACTCATCGATTTGTACTTAAACCATCTCTGCATTGTTGGTTCATATTAAATTGAATATGGCGTTGTCAATATTGTCTTATCGGGCATTCTATCATTTATGGTTCTTTAGTACATGCTAGTCATGGAGAAGTAAACAGTCTTCTCTGTCCCTTGCATTATGTACAGAACCAGTTGACCTTTGAGTTTCGACTAATGCTACAACAATAGCAAAAATATTTTATAGGAGATACCTTCTTTTGATTTTTTAGTGCCTCAGCGTCGAATTTTTTATCTGAAATCGTAGCTGATTGGCAGTCTAGTCGGCTCTGAACTGCTAATATCACTGTAGTCTTCCGATTACTATCAGACGAAATTTTTTAACTCACTGAGAATTTGCATCTAATCTCTTGAAAAACTATTAATTGATCCAGGATGTTACTAAGAGCAGAAATGGGGAATGGGAAAATGAAATGGGAAATTGAATTTTCTTTGAAATTCTGTGTTGATTAAGCAGAAAAGAAAATTTTCAGCGGCGATTATCGATATTCATACTTTCTTCAAAAACGTTCAGAGGCTAAATTTACGGAACGGAAGAACTTAATGATAACGAAAGAAGTGATACTCGCCACCTAATAAGAAAAATTTTATCGGTCTCATAAACGAGTGATGAGTTAAATTAAATTTTGCTGAGATTCATTAGGGGGCTATTTGAATGTTTACTTTAAAATTAGTAAATTGGAAGTTCCAAAGAGGTTAGCCGTTAAGTGCTTGACTTTTCAGAGTCCAACTCACTTCTCAACTACGAACAACAAACAACCCACAGTTGAATATCCATAAGCAGAGTCTTCATTTCATTTTTCGAAAGTAACAAAGGACTGCCTAGTAGAGAAATTTCTATCAGATAAAGTACTCGCCTCACTTTTAAAGCAGCGTAACTGAAAAATCAAATCAAAGAATAATGTCACCTTCACGACTATAAGGCGCGCCAAGCAGATAATGAATCTATCAGGTTTCAAGTGGTAATTTGCAGGAATATCGGTGGCGAGTGTGCAGCAAATTCCTGAACTTCTAAAGGTTTCCCGCAACTCGTCCTTGAAGTGTTAACGAACGAGCATGTTATTTCCACGCGAAATGGAGGCTATTTTAATAACATCTCCTTCGAACATTTTTGTAAATTACGGAAATTTTGCGAACAGATAACCTTTTACTGCATGGGATATTCACTTTGCAATAATATCTTGTACGATTTTATGAACAAACAAACATGTCCGCTCTTTTTTAACAAAAACAAAACGCTGTCTCACCATAAACTAATTTTAGAAGAAAGACTTATCGTTCTGGACGAAGAGCTCAAAAATTAGGGATTATCACTTGGGGTATATCCTCGATTATGATCCATCAAATAATTTTGCTCGCGCGCGACTGGTTTAAACGCCTCACGTTAACAAATATTTCCTGGCTAAAACTGGGGGATATCCAAGGATAAACCCAGGTGATATTCCCCAATTTCCAGACCTTACTTCCACCACGATAAGTCTTCGTCTAAATTTAATTCAAGATAAGAAAGCGTACTATGGTTGTCACAGAAGAAGAGAAATATTTGTTCGTTCATAAAGTCTCACCAGAGAACACTCAAAAGAAAACATCCCATGTAAACGTTTTTGCACGTACGTTGTAAAATATTTGAAGGATAAGAAACACAATAGCTTTTATTTTGCGCGAAAATATGCTTGTATATTTGTCCTTGGACAATTATACGAAGCTCACTCCTTTAATTTTCTTATCATCAATTCATATCGTTCCTTTAATTTTGCCCCAGGACGTTTTTGAAAGAGAACGTGGATATCAATGAAAAATATCTGTTCCTTATTATTAACAGTAAACCTAAACCAAAAAAATTGAAAATTAATTCCCATTTTCCCATTTCTCATTCCCCATTACTCATTCTCCATTCCTCATTCTCCATTCCTCATTCTCCATTCCTCATTCGCCATTCCTCATTCTCCATTCCCCATTCCTCATTCTCCCTTCCCCATTCTCCATTCCCCATTCTCCATTCCCCATTCTCCATTCATCATTTTCCCTTCCCCATTCTCCATTCCCCATTCTCCCTTCCCCATTCTCCCTTCCCCATTCTCCCTTCCCCATTCTCCCTTCTCCATTCCCCATTCTCCCTTCCCCATTCTCCCTTCCCCATTCTCCCTTCTCCATTCTCCCTTCCCCATTCTCCCTTCCCCATTCTCCATTCCCCATTCTCCCTTCCCCATTCTCCCTTCCCCATTCTCCCTTCCCCATTCTCCCTTCCCCATTCTCCATTCCCCATTCTCCATTCCCCATTCTCCCTTCCCCATTCTCCATTCCCCGTTCTTCCTTCCCCATTCTCCATTCCCCATTCCCCATTCTCCCTTCTCCATTCTCCCTTCCCCATTCTCCATTCCCCATTCTCCATTCCCCATTTTCCATTCCCCATTCTCCATTCCCCATTCTCCATTCCCCACTCTCCATTCCCCACTCTCCATTCCCCATTCTCCCTTCCCCATTCTCCATTCCCCATTCTCCATTCCTCATTCTCCATTCCCTATTCTCCATTCCTATTTTTAGCAGCATCCTTACATAGATTGGTAAGTAAAGGTGCCAAACATTCTTACCCAATAGTCGCGTGATCGATGAACACGTGCCACTAGTTCATCACAAGCCGTCTCCATTGGAATGCCAAGTGGGTGATTTCTTTAATTTCACATGTTTTAGTGTCCAACTTAACTTCAAGGAAACTCAAACTAATCAGTGCAATGTTGAGAGTTTTGAATACGCTGCTTTCGTTCCAAAACGCTTTAAGTTTTTGTAAGTTTTGGTAAGCATGAATAGCCTTTAAAGTTGTGTATACGGCATGATGCTGTCATGACGGCGGATTTCAAGAGGATGGGCCTCTTCACTTAAATGATAGGTGAGTTCTTTTCAACCTCATCATCAGGGCGAGGGTAAGCGCGTGGGCCCTGGACGCAAGGTTCAGAACCATGTATATTTTGTTTTTAAAGAGTACTATCCACACTTGTTTTATCGTGTTGCTTCACAGATTTATCGCTACTCTGTCTATATTCTAACTTTTTTTATTAACTGCAAGAGTCAACGTCACATAGCGTTCACAGCAACTAATCCCAAACTGTCTCAGACCAATTACAGTAAGCATCTACAGGCGCACACGAAACATTGGTCATTAATTATTCTATTGATTTTACACACCGGTCAGTCATAAACAACAGCTTTAACGCGTATGAAGCAGGTGAAAAATGCTATGCCTGAGGAGTGCAACACGGTGCTGAGGAAATTTGTGCTATCATTTTTCTGCGTTTCTGAACTGACAAACGGGTTTTCATTTTCATATGCGAATGTATTTTTACGCTATAGTTTTCCGTAGTTCATTGCATGACCTCTGGGTGTTCACATTCTCTGTTTAAGAAAAGACGTTCTGCCAAATTCTCAAAGGACTTGATTCCATTTGATTGACACCAAGGGACAAATACCTTAGACGCCATAAACAATGTCTTCCTTGGAACGTTTATCCCTTGACGTCAGTTCTGTCGTAAAGTAAGCCGAGCGAAACGTAATTAAAAATAGCGGTATATTTCGTAAATGAATCAAGCGGTAATTCATTTTTCTTGAACAATGCATCATATTGAAGAGTCCAATTTACCGGTGAGTAACAAGGTAACTTTTTAGACTACTGAAGTTTGGAGTTTTGCTGTAATTTGTGAGCGATTTATAATAGATTCCGTTGTATCTATTTCTGAGTTGAGCTTGTTTGTAAAGACTGTAGTCATTAGCCATGATTCG